TGAGGGGAGGAGGCCCCGGGGAAGACCCAGGACACGCTGGGGGGACTATGTCTCTTGGCTGGCCTGGGAACGCCTCGGCATGCCCCCGGAGGAGCTGGAGGAAGTGTCTGGAGAGAGGGAAGTCTGGGCATCTTTGCTTAGACTGCTGCCCCCGTGACCTGGTCCCGGATAAGCGGAGGAAAATGGATGGATAGATGGATGTTTTAGAAAAATCCTGATTTGTACTGAAGAACAGTTACAGGCAAAAATAACTTGAAATAGAAGTGATTTCTCCTCTGTTGTCTTTCTTATTGTGTGCCAGCCTGTGCTGAAGTTAGGACCTGCACTGCTCAGCGTGAAATCACAAGTGTCATTTGTTACATAATTTCTTTTAACACATACTTCAGAGCACCCCTTCTCTGAAAAGGTCTGCTGTCTAGTTCAGAAGCACTTTCCGGTGCAGACTAACTCCAGGGATTGAACCTGTGACCTTTCTGCCTACTGAGTCACCCGCTCGCCCTGCAGCTCCTGTCACAGGTTGTGCTGCTTTGTCCTGTCACTCACTTGACTCCCTTTCTGGTGACGATCCTGGTCGAGGAGGCGTTGAAGACTTTCTCAAAGCGCTGCAGCTTGAACCAGTCCATCCTGTAGGGAGACACAACAGTGCTCGTCACAGCCACACAAAAGCCTGCTGCTCCGCCTGTCACGCGTTGTTACATAAGAGTCGACTGCACGAGTTGATCAAAGCACATGCACGTCTGCATAATCCCACATCATTCTGAATCGCAGGTATCAAATCCTACACTGTGGGATGACTTGATGCATCTCATTGTATTTGTTTTCACTGCTGCTTCCCCTGAGAAATTAAGAAAATCAGCCTGGAACAAAAGGAGCGTTACAAACCAGGGGTGGACACAGTGACATGCAAAGGAAAACAAATGCCAAACATGGGGGCTAAAAACTACCCTCAAGTCAAGATGCTCCAAAAATCTCCACCGGATTATGTTAGAATTCAGCTTTTCTCTCACAGATTTATGTGACTTTCTCAGTTTGTTCAAAATAAAAACTGTACTGTATTTTTAATTATTATCATCAACTGTTAGGTGCAGAGGTGGAAAGTAACTACATTTACTCAAGTAATTAAGTAGTTTTGAGGTATCTGTAGCCGACTATTTGACTGTTTTCATTTTCTGGCACACTTGAAGGGACTAGCAAACATGGGGGCGGCCGTGGATCAGGGTAGAATGGGCTGACCTGTGATCACATGGTTGGTGGTTTGATTCCCAGTCTCCCCTGTCCACATGACAAAGTGTCCTTGGGCAAGACAGTGAACCCCAAGGTGGTCTTGATGGCCTGGCTAGCGCCTTGCATGGCAGCTCTGCCACCATCAGTGTGTGTGTGTGTGAGTGTGTGTGTGTGTGTGAGAATGGGTGAAGCGCTCTGTTTCCATAGAGAAGTGATGGGGGGGGCCTTTATCTGTCTGTGCACAATGCCCATTTTGTTGTGATCCAACCCCTTGTATGTCCAGTAACATTTGTCCTAATTGGCTCATAATCAAATATTTCTTCAGAGGTTGCGCAATATGGACAAAGTCCTTTTATTTGCTGGTCTCCCTGTGATGTAATAGTCTGAGGCTTTGATTGCCACATCTTTGGCAGCCTCTTATCAAGTTATGAAGAAGAGTAAAAGAAAAACACGTTTTCTTTCTGTAACTAGCACCAGTGAATATCTACACTACAGATCATTACCCTGAGGAGCTCTGAGTGAAACAATTAGTGAAATCAAAGTCCTGTTTCTTATCAGGATCTTCTGCTGAATCCTGAACCCAACACTGACAGGTTGAACATAAAACAGTAACGGTGTCATGTGTGTCCTTACTCGTAATGGAAACCGATGTCATGGTTTCCAACCAGTACGACCAATTCTATGTCAGTGGAGTGTCTGAACATCCTGTGGAAGCGGCGCACGTCGTCCTCCCAGTGCTGCGGACACACAACAACACAAACCACAGCTGAAGCAGGTTTCACTGACAACACAACCTCCCTTCGGACGCTTGGGCGAGTTACTGGGATCTGTGAGCGTCACCCAGTAGCCCCCATGGATGGCTGAGACATCTGTTGTTTTCCTCACAAGGCCTCAAGTAGTTTTCCTCACAAGGCCTCAGTACTTGATTTCTGTCAAAATACACAGTTCAGCTGAGTCTAGTTTTCACGCCCCCAGTGAATTAGTCAACAAAATAACCAACAGTCTCATCGATAATGACGTATTCTTTGTTGCAGCCTGTATCAAACAAAACAAGCAATGTCAAGTTCTGATCTTGGCAGTGGTGGAAAGTAACTAAGCACATTTACTTAAGTACAGCTTTAAGGTATTTTACTTGAGTACTTCCATTTTCTGCTACTTCATACTTCAACTTCACTACATTTCAGAGGCAGTTATTGCACTTTTATTAGCTGTTTTTCCAAATCAGATCAATAAAACATAGTAAAATCATAAGACTACTGATCCCTGGTGGGAAACTCACAGGTACCAATATGTAAACTAGTATAAGTACATAAGGTAGTTACCATTAGCTCCACCTTTATGTGATTAAGACAATAATGCATCAATAATCCAATGATATGATATACAGTAATGTCAAATGTGCCATTCTGTGTGAGTACTTTTTATATTTTAAGTATATTTTGATGCTCATACTTTTGTCCTTTTACTTAAGTAACACTGAGTGAAGGACTTTGACTTGTGTTTGTACACGATGGAACGGATCTGAGTACTTCTTCCACCACTGGACTGTGGTTGTGGGAACGTGTAGGTACAGTATTTTCACTACTTTCTGACACAGAAGTCAAACAATAAATCCATTAGTCAAGAAAACCATCAACAGGTTGATTCAGAATAAAAGCCAATACTAGCTGCAGCCCTACTTTGAGTGTTTCTCTGCAGTTGAACAGATCTGAGTGCTTCCTCTTTAAAAATGCCAGACAAGTGTTAAAACGATGAGGAAGCTGACAATAGAACACGGTAGATTTAGAGATACTTCCTGTTTTAATCGGGTTTCCTTTTTGTGCCGCACCTCCTCTTTCTCCTGTCTGACTCTGCGGGTCACGTTTGACAATCCGCTAATAGATGTATGAGACTTCCCAGGGGATTTTTCCTGAAGCAGGGCGGCTGTGCCATAGAGGACTGAGAGGATGCTTTCCTCTAAAGCTGCAGCCTCTCAGGCCTGGATGGTACAAAATGACGATGGTGCCCGGAGAGCAGTGGCCTCTGCTCCGCATCCACATACTGTTTTCTCACAAGCATCACCGCCACAAGAAGCACTGTGCGCTTGCAGACAAAGCACCAAGGAAAAAGGGGGGAGCTCTACGTTACCTTCTGGTTGCTCCACTTGCCTTCGTCGAAGATATCCCCGAGAATAAACACTATTTCGGGCCTGAGCAGCCACAGAGCGGTCTGGAAAGCCCTCTCCATCTGCCATTCCCTGCGCGTTTGGATACACAAGCCGGCGTTATTTGTTGTTTTTGTTTACACAGCACTCACAAAGCCCAGGAGAACGACAGAGAGGTGGTGATTCATTGATTTCAAGTACAAATAAATGAGATTACCTCCTCAGCTTGTCGAACCAGTGTCCCCCGACGGCTCCCAGGAGGTGGGTGTCCGACAGCACCATAGCGCGGACCGCTGAGTCCATTGGCCGATCGTCGATGCCCTCACCACCCCGAGCATGGCTGATCTTCGGCCAGGCGCACTTGAGGATGGCCGGGAAGTAGATGAGATACTCGCAGAAAATGAAAGCACCGCCGACCACGACAATCAGCACCAGCGCAACCATCCACCTGACGCTAAACCTCGGCATGTCTTTGTTATTCGGCGTTCGGGATGCCCTGAACTGGCGCTCTGGTGCTGATGGAGCGGTCCATGAGGCATCTTCACCTCGTCCAGACCCGACTGTTCAGGTTTCTGGCCGCGTGACGCTCATGGCAAGTCCGCTGTGAGAACCAAACGGCTCCGTGTCGAGTCCGGTTGATTATAGATATAAGATTTAAAAGAAAGTTAAAACCTGCTGGTGAAGAGAAACCAGTCGGGGTTTCTCCTCGCGGCTCGCAATGGTCAAGATAGAAACAAGACTTCCGGTGGTTTTCAAAATAAAACCGTAGCGCGCTCTTTTACAATAAAGATCACATCCAGTGACAAAGTACTGTAGGTTTCCTCAGGTGCTGAGTATTTCCATTTTATGCTGCTTACTGTATATTCAAAAGCTCCCTCCCTCCTACAATGAGCAAGACTCCCAGGCTGAAAGAGGCCCAAAATGACTAAAATTACAGAGATGCAAATGTTTGTGTCTGTAATTGTTTTGCACCTTTGTCTGGTACAGTATGTATCATATAATTGACTTTCTAACAAACAAAAAAACAGCAGTCACTGATTAGTGCCTGGCAGTAAAATGGAAAACTACTTCAAAGTTGTATTTATTGGCACCACTGGGTGTAAATAGATTTTAAATGAGAACAAGAAATTTGTCCATGCCTTCCATAAGGCTGGAAACCTGACAAATATAATATGAAACATGACTTTACACTCATGTAAATCTTTAATCACTGATTTAAAGAAATGTCAAGTTTAAGACAAATTTACTTCAACTTAAAAGCACAATCAGATAACTTCCAGTCTTTTTCTTGCTAACAGCTGTTAACTTGTTTTGGGGACGGGAGGGGTGGCATAAGAACGACTAAAAACACATCAAGTAAAAGTTATTAAAAAGCCAAGTTATGAGTCTGGAATTTATAAAAACAAATCTAGTGACTAAACCTGGCATCTCTCCAACACTAACATGCAAATCCTACCTGGGAAAAGGGGCCAAGAACTATAAGACAAATGAGATTAAGCGATTAAGAGCAGAAATCTGATCAGCAGCAGGCTGCTTACATGTGCAGCTGTGTCAGTGTGAGTAGTTTCAGTCACACAGGACACACCTAACCTGTGTCAGTGTGAGCAGTTTCAGTCACACAGGACACACCTAACAAAACTATCCCAATTATTGCCAGTTACCTGCTAAACCAGTTGGGTTGCAAGAGTTATGTAAATATACTTATAAATGTAAAGTAGTGCCCTTTACTTTTTTTCTTGTCCTCATCCTACTCCTAAAAAAATATTGTTCCAGCAGCAGCAGCAGGAGGCTTTAGTGGAAGAGAATGAGGACGCTGCACAAGTTAAATTAGAGCAGTGCGACAGCAGCAGCGCAGCGGGAATCTGGTGCATGACAGCATAATTAAAGGGAAAGGCTCCTCAGTTTTCAGGCGATGTGATCAGGAGTGAGCATTTGTCTCTAGAAACTAAAAAGGGTGGAGACTCCAAACTTAGGAACCCATTCAGAAGTAAAGCCTGGCATTGCTCCACTGACATCACAGTTTGAAAAGATATGAAGAGTATTTACTGTACTTTACATTTTGAGCTGTGTTTCATTTCCTTAACTCATTCTGCTTTAAAGTTTAAAGCTACTCAACAAACCTGTCTTGTACAACTCCACATCTTTCAGGCTCAAGGAGAAGGCCTCAAGAGTTTCACTGATACCAACAAATGAAGCTGAAATTGTCGTCCAAAGCAAAGCCTTTTATTTGGAGAAAGTGTCAGGCCTCCCACATATTGTTATGCAAAACACCTCCTAAAATGCTTTTTCCTGTTAGAAATACTGAGTCCAAATCCCCTTTTAAAGGAAAAGTTTAACACCAACCAAAAGGTCGCTGATATTATTGTTCATTCAGTAAAATGTTAAATAAGAAGCTCAAAACTCAATCAAGGACAGATTTCAATGAGCAGACGTACAGAGACAATATCATAAACATATGTAAAAAATACAGTTTTAAGTCTTGTATATGAAAGAAAATGTTATTACCATGGTCATCTCCACACCATGTATTACAGCATATGTTTCTATTGACACTAACACAGTCACAACTATGGACAGCTATCAACAAGAATTACATTAGTAGTGCATGAGTAGTTCTGAACTCTTTGGAATTAAAGTACTTTTTGTTGAGTATTCATTTTCTACTACTTGAATTGTCAATCATTTTCAGAGGTTTATCACCAAGTTAAATCACATCTGTCATCATAACGCCCACCGTCTACTGGTAATACTGTGTCAGGGAGATCTAATCCGTTTTGTACAGAAAATATAACTGTAGCAACTTTCATTTCTACAAATCTGAAAACACTCATCTGTGCCATCATTAACCTAGAAAATGAAGATAACAAAGGACAAATTTTATGTGAACCAGGTTTACATATGAGAAAAAAATCACCCTGCTTGTGTAAAAATCAGGTGGTAAAAAGATGCCGTTTCCTGCAGCACACCAGCCAGATTTGATTTGTGTTCAATTAGGCCGACTGGTCAGCCTCCAGCCGCTCATTAGAGACCGTTTATGCAGATGTTATGCAGAGTGTGAGAAGGAAAAATGTAATTCGACGCTTGCCTTTCTCTAGACCTGCCGACACTGTTTGGTCACAGGTGAATTTAAATGTGAGTGACTCAGCTCTCCTGTCATGTAAAGGAAGAGTTTTGTTAAAAATATGTGACAATGAATCTAAAGTGAAGAACCTGCAGACGCTCTCATTGTTTTCTAATGCAACAGGAAAATAACAATGAGAATAAAAATTTGGATGGACAATAAATATAAAAGTCTTTTTTGCCAGTTTAACAGACATCTATATTACAATAGGATCTCCATATGCACAGTTTTTCTCAATACCCAAATTGAACCAGTTGCCTTTTCCTCCTTTGTAAGCACTAGTGACTATTCTGGCCCATCCATGTTCTCCCTGAAAACAAAGCACACAAACAAAAATAGCATTTGAAATGTTTTTACTGGAGCATGATCTCGACTAAATGGACTAGAGAGTGAATTCCAGAATTGCAAAGTGTGCAAACTATGTCAGACAGAGTGGTGTGGTGCAAAGAGAGAGAAACTGACCCAAAACTCGCCCCACGAGTTCCTGACAATCCAGTACTCAGTCTCATCCTCTGCCATGCCCCAACCAGCTACAGACACAATGTGATTTGATATAGAGAGGAAGTGAAACTCTGAGAAGATCCCTCCAGTATATTTCTCCAGACGGTCTGTGGCCATCAGGGCACAACTGAAAGACACAGAGAAGAGTTTCTGACGCCCTCCAACCAGCTGCAGCAGCATCTGAAACATTTCTTTCTTTTCCTTGCCTTTTCTTTGATACCTATAATGTGATGGCGAGCTCAAATACAGGTCAAATGTGACACTTTTTAAGTTGTGCTTTCGTCTTGCTGTGAAACCAGAGCTAAAATTTGTACAGTAACTGTCTTGTGCAGTATGGAAACTTTGATGTTTCACTGAGTTTTCTGTATTAAAGTTGCAGTCAGATGGTCACAAAAGCAGTTTTCCCCAAAAATGTCGTTAAATAGCTTAATGTTGATATCATTTGGCTCATATTTCATTTAGAGGTTTTAATTCACAAACTTAAAATTCTTCTTTTAAACACATTTACAAAGGGTGATATAAAACTACAGGATGTGAAGTTATTCCTACAGATAATAAGATCAAAATATTTTCAACCCTTGTTTTATCTTATACATTTCAAATGGAAAATGACGAAAACCATTAATCCATTAATCTAATCATACCTGCAGGGAATAGAGCTAAGTGAATACTTTCTAAGCGTTTGGTAATGATGCATGGAATTAATTTAAAGATGATATAAAGCTGTCAGATAAAGCTTAGTTGTACATGGATATGTGATTAAAGGTCTTAAGAATAATTAAATCCATAACTAGTAATAAAAACTTCACTATGATTAACAATCACTCTGAAAGTCAAGGCTGAATCTCTTCTCTCACACAACCATGTAGGCGGATGAATAATTAGAAATGATTTGGGAGGATGAATAACTCTACCTTATGGGCCCACTGGTGGCGATTTCTGCTTTCATCTTGTCCCTTCCCGAAACCTCTCCATAGTCTCCCACCTTCCACACGGTGTAGTTTTTCACGACAGCACACGATTCAGCGGAGCATGTACCACACTGGTTGAACAGCTGACACTCTGTCAGAAACCATGTGAAGATGCTTGTTTTAATGCTTTACAGTGCTTTTTTAAATTACAGTATGTCAGTCTTCAAAATGATCCTGTGCTGTTGCAGTTCTATGAAAGCCAGACGTCCAAGGTTTACATCACTGCTAGGAAACAGGACATGATGGGAGGGGCAAAGAACAGATAAGAGCAGGTTATGATGTCAGTTTAAGTCTTACTAGGCCCTCTAGGCTAAAAAGAAATTAGGCAGAGTATTGTTATTGTTTAAAAAAAGTCAGCTCCAGACCAAACTCATCACTGTCCACATACTTTTGGCAGCACAGTATAACTTGACTGACTGGCATAGTGATCAGAACTCAGAGAGAAAATGCATATTTTTACCTTGGTTTTTGGCTTGGTAGTTGTTGCAGGATTCATCGGGAATGCCAGTCTCATGGGCGTAGGCGTAGACTCCCAGGTGATCTCCTCCGTAACAAGAGCCCGCCCTCCCACAGTCTATCACGTTCTGTACTGACAGGTAGGCTAGCGGCCATGCTCCTCCACGCTTGATGTTGATACGATCTTGGACAAAAGAAAAGCATGTTGAAATGCTTTATTTCTTGTTTCTTGCCAATGATGCCACTGCTGTACTCACTAAATCCTGCACAACATTACCATGATATTGTGGGAACAAACATTTTATGTTCGCAAAATAATGTATCCCATTTTACACAGTCCCAGTTTCTATCCATCCTTCTTCCCTTATGTTGTTTCCTCCCTCCTCCCCTGTGTTGCCATGGTTACCAGCCAGTGCACTAGTGGCTCCCATGGCCCAACATGACCCACAGTACTGGGGGATGTGTTGGTTCCTTGTGACGCTCACATAATTCTTCCCACTGATATTCCTCCAGTCCCAGGACAGAGGGAGGGCCGACACCTTCACATGCAGCCGGGGATGTGTCCTAAAATAAGCAAAGTATCATTAAAACTGCTCCACACTTACAGCGTTAATGTGAGATTTTCAAATGTTTTCTCATAAAGATTCTCAGTTAACTATGATATAAAACAAAACAGCACAAAATCTTTATATTTGATTCACTAAAAATAGCAATTACTTGAAAAATGGCTTAAATGGTTAACTGATTATCAAAATGGTTGCAGATTATTTTTCTTATAAATTAAAATAATGGAGAGGGAAAAAGAAAATCATAGTAGTTAACATGACAAAGTTAACCCATGTTAATAAATATGTTACTTAGACACCCAGTTATATAAGGAACACGGCAACTTTAATTAACTCAGAGTTAAACAGCGAGTCAAAATCATTAAACCGTGTCAACGTAAATGTTGTGGTCACTTACCTGACAGACTCTGGTCTGCCATCTCTGATTGGCTTGTAACAAGGCTCAGTTAAAAGGCTGGAGGAGGTAATTTGCAGCGAAAATGCAAAACAAAACAGCAGCGACACAATGTTTGAAGACGCCATATTGGCTGCGGTACTTCAGCTGAAGCTGCGCGCCCCCTGTCGGGCAGGAGGATATGCTCCACTCACCATCACGGGTACAGCAAGCTGCGGGTACGGTGAGGTGCAGAAGCATCCTGGGCCAGTAGATGTGCCACTTACCTCTCTGAAGTTTAAACAGCAGCATAAATAATTGTTTGTTTTCATCAAGAAAATGTATTTTTCTAGAGGGCCTGAGACAACTGAAAGTATTAATATTTATACAACTAAACTTAAAAACACGTTTAGCCTGGCTTTATGTAGTGTCAAAATCTTCACTTGAACCTTTTTTATATTATAGTTTTATATCTATATTTGTAGTGGTGGAAAGAAGTAGTCAGATTCTTTAAAGTAACAATATAACTGTGTAAAAAGTGTTCAAAATGCTTACTGAAGTAGCAACAGTATATTTAAAGTAGGCTACCAAATGTAAAAGTACTCAAAGTCTTCTAAATAAAAACCAAGTGTCAGAGCAGTGCATATTTTGCAGGTGCAGCAGGAAACTTTTACATAACAGTCTCAGTTCCCAGATACAATCACATTACACCTAATGCGTTGCCTGATGATTGCTTGGGTTATCATGGATGATACGCAGCTCTTAACAAGGTTATAAGCAGCATGAAGCTCAACTTCAATCAAGGTTTGCTTTAGTGAAGAGTAAGCACTATTGTTTGTGCTTTTCATGATTAAAACTAAAATCAGATTAAATGTGCATTAGGCACCTAATGAGCCCTCAACAGGAACCAGATAAATCACTCACCAGTTGTTATTTGTTGTATGATCCAGCTTTAGTTTGTGGTGAAGCTGTGCAGCTCATCTAAAAGATATTCAGCAGTAAGAGGAAAGGCGGTTCCTGTCGGTGCCAGTGTTAACGCTAGAAAATTATCTCTAAAAATATGCTCGGTGCTTTCTGCTGAATCTCAACCAAGGCTTGACTGATATGAAGGCAAATATCAAAAAGCAAATCAAGGTGACGGTGTCTCTTTTTCACATTGTTTTCAGGGGAAAATATCTTAAAATTTCTTTAAACTGTTAAATAATTAGATTATTTAGACCACATTTTACACTTACTTTGACTTTACTATTGCAATAACTTCTCATATAGCCAAGAGCTGAAAAACATGTATTCAGGGGAATACTTCTGGGAAATGTAGAAAGTAAAGGTCTTTAATTGAGGCTGAGGTAAAGTCGGTACAATGAAAGTACAACCAGCACTTTGTCTCAGGGTCAGTTAAATACTGACTCATGACTGTGAACATCAGATAATTATGATAGATGTGACAGTAATGAAGGGAAGGTGGAGTGTTCCCAGAAGGAGTCGCTAAGCTCAAATAATTTATCAGTCTTGATTTCAAGTTTCTGAAACATGTAAGCAAACCTAAACCCTGTCACTGGATGAAAAGTGAGGACACGCTCAGAGTAAACATCTATAACCCTGCACTGGAGTCATCAACCTCTGTTGAGTCAAATTAACTAAAACTCCACAGACACACTCGGTGTTCCTCTCTGTCAGTTCACTTATTCTGTTTTCCCTGAGCACAGACACCACCGGCTCCTTCAAGGAAGTCCATTGTGTGAAGAAACACAGGGACTTTTGTCTGCTTGAGGACCAGAGGAATGAAGTCTTGATGACCTTTGACCTCTTAGGTCATCAGTGTTGTGTTAAAAACTAAGCCCTCCCCTGCTCTGAGACTTCTCCACCAGCACAAACACTCCTCAATAATGCATGGCTTTATAGCGTACGGCAGGCCTTCAGTCTGACTGCTTAAATCTTTCAGGATGTAATGTTACAAACAACCCAGGGATAATACAGAACATCTGTCAACATATCAGTTCTTTATGATGAGGACGATATCCTGGGAATGTGCATTAACACAAGCTTCTTCCTGCCTGCTAATGCTAAGTTAATAACAGCCCTGATGACACCACTAAACAGACCTTCACTGATCAGTTACTGAAGGCCATTATCCTTTTTCTATTTGCAGTAATAAAGTAGCTTCTAAAACTGGCCTCCTACATCCAGATTGATGGCAAGACTATTATGCAGTCTTTGCAGTTAAATAATTTGCACTCTGTCCATTTGTCTTGACTTTCTAAAAGTCATGTGTCATGTTTGTAATTGATGTCATGACTGCTCTTTCTAATTAGTATTTTTTCAAGTGATAACAGTTTTAGGGAGATTTGAAGGATTTTAGGGTTTTGAGCCTCTGACAGCCCGGCTCCAGGGATGGAAATGCTGACCTATCGGTCCAGACTGAAATATCATAACAGCTGAGATGAATAGCTGTTAAATGTTGTGCAGACATTCATGGTTCCCAAAGGGTGAGTCCCAGTGATGTTTCATGTGGTGACACCAGCTGTTCAAAGATTTATCTTGTCCTATGAAATACTGTACCTCAACTTGTACTAGATGGTCTGACCTGTTCATCATCAACTTTTCCTCTTGTGGTTTGGACTGACATGCCTTAACATTTCAATTTGTATTTAGTATTTCATTTGTAAATTAGCATGGCTATCGATTCTCAGTCTTGTTACATATTAGCTCAGAAAAATCCCTTGCATAATTTCAAACTGTCATTTCATGTTTTAAACACTTTAAAGCTGTCTTGTTTGCAGCCTGATATACATTATATACATTAGCCACTGTAGCTGAGATGATTTTTATACTGCAAAGATCACAGACTTAACAGACAGAAGGTTAATTCAAGTCACGGTGGATTAAAAAGGTGTGTGATGACATCTCCACTGACCCCATAAGACCCCATAATAGTTTCAAACATTAGGAGCAGCCACACATAGTTACACTGACTTGAAGTAAGGCATTGAAATTAATAGCAATTATCATACTTTAGACATTTTAAGGTAGCAGCACATCACATGTTCTACAACTTTTCTGACTGTCTCTCTCAAATATTGGGTCACTTTAATAATTAGGTACCAGTTAAATCAAGATATGTGTGTGGTGTTTGTTTCTCATGGTGTCATGTTGTTTGTTCTCCATTGCTGCTGAAACACTGAAATTTCCCCATTGAGGGATCAATGAAGTTCCTTCCTACCTACCTACCTACCTACCTACCTAAAGTAGCTGAGCTCTCCACAACAACAGAATGCCGAATTGGTTTGTAAGGCCATTCAGGTCATTAAAAATGGCAATAAACTGCTGAAAAGGTGTCAGGGTTTTCAGCACAAAGGTGTTAGTACATTCTACTAACACATTTGGGACTCTCTACTAATTGGCCCCTCCATGCTACATCTTTTCTGTCTTAAGGGCACTACTTTAAATGTGTGTAGTTAAGACATGAACAACTGGAGTTACCAGGTTTTCATATGACAACACAGATATAAACCTCTTTAAATTCCTGAGGAGACCATCTGCCCACAGTCACCACAGAAAGACACTAAAAAGCCCTCTTAAGCAGAGGCACCTTTAAAGTGTATGAAAAGTGCATCCATGTAAATATGGAGCACGCACACGGTTTGGATTTCACTTGTGGATCAATATTGAAGCGATATGGATGTTAATCTGATTTGAGCTGCTGTTTTTTTTCTTGGTGAATACTGCTACAGACTGGCAGCATAGCAGTTCAGTGAAATCACAAGAAATTCAGCTCTGCTCACATGAGTACTTTAGTCTGGCACAGTTTCTCTACTAATAGTTTTCTATTTGTCCACATTACTTTTTGCTGTTGCAAGTATCCGTCTGACAGATTAAACTGTGGCCATTTTGGAAAAATAAAAATACATATCTGCAGCTTATGCGCCATGAAGAGCTGATGGCATCTTTTTCAAACATCACAGGTTGGGATAGAAATGTAGAACATACAGTATTTTGGCATCTTACAAGTCAGAGAAAGAAATCCTCTACTGTACAGCCATTGGATGGGGTGGAGGTCAGGCCAGTCAAAGTTTTTCTACACTGGGAAAATTATTTTTTATGAGCCTGGTTTGTACATGGGAGCAAATTCTAATTTATACATATACCTGCTGCCAGTTTGTCAGCCCATCAGTCCACCACTTTGGTCCAGATTGAAAAACCTCCAAAAATAATGTATGGATTGACACAAAGTTTTGTAGGCTGTCATAGTTCTCACAGAACACATACTGACTGGTAAGCCCTTTCCTCTAGTACCACCATTAGGATGACACTTTGTGGTACTGATCACAACAAATATTGGATGGATGTTTATGAAACTTGGGTCAGACATTCATGTCCCCCTCAGGATATGTTGTCATAACTTTGTTAATCCTCTGATTTTTGTTTTAGCATCATCATCATCAGGTTAAAAAGTTGGTTTATGACCTGCAAAACTAACACTACTCCCATAGGACATATCTGATGTTAGAGTGCTAAAACCAATGTAATGGTAAACATACTTGCTACACATTTGCACGTTAGCGTTATCACTTTGGACATGTTAGCATGCTGACATTAGCATGTGCTAGTGTGGCTGTACATCTTTATTTCAGTATGAATTCAAATAAAAAGGACCTTATCTTTCCCTTTGTGCTGACATCATCATTCTCCATGGCTATTTTGAGACTCACCGTCACTACCTCATAAATTAATTTTCAAGTCAATACCAATTGCAGGACTCAAAAGTACAATGGGCGAATTTAAAAACATACCCTTCCTGTTGCATTTATCACAATTCTGAGCTTAATATGAGGCAGGTGAATCAGGAGCAACTGAGCTGAACATCCACTGTGTGTTGTGTAAAACTGTTGTGTCCATTTGGCACGAGAGATTATCAATAACTCCCTCTCAAGAATCGGATGAATAATGGATCAAAGACAAATGTTACTTAAGATTCACATCCATCTGAAGGATTAGATCAGCAGGTCCAGACTTCAAACAGCAACAACAAATCATGGGCTGACATGTTTTGAGGTTGGTTATTGATTATTGTTGGCGGCAGTTCAGGAGCCTGGGTTTCCAGGGAAAAATGAAGCTTCAGGGCAGAGACTGGCAGCGAACTTGTTGGTCTCTCAAAGTTAGCTTTTCCTCCAGCAGCATCTAGAAGTTTATTTTTCTTATTCTCATAAACCCAGTCTATTTTGGCGATTAAGTCAAATGGCTATCACAAACAAGACCTTTGCTGCTTCAGGTGCCCTGGGTTTTCCACTTGGAAGGTCATTTGACTCGGCCCTGAAAACTCCCATCATACCTTGCTTCTCTCAGGCCAAATGCACTTCAGAGGAAACAACAGCATGAATCATTTTCCTGTCAGTATAGTCATTAGACATATGAAAGTGTGCTTGATTGATTGATTGGTTGGTCAAATGTGTGGGCGTGTTACGCTAATGAAGGACATTTACTGTACATTAAAAAAAAAAGTCAAATTTCAGTGACTCAAATCTTAAAAAATGAGTGCAATAACATGATAAATGCGGGTATTTCCACACAGTTAACAGCCTACCGTGCTCACTGACATGTACTAAAATCCAGTAAAGGCTCAGCTGACCTTTTACAGCAATAGGAAAACATCTAAATGAGTTGATCCTATATATAATGAAACATTCCTCTCCAGATGGAAACTGTCTCTTGCAGGGTGAAGATGACAATCTGCTGGGCACATGGAGTCACTGAGTAATTTGGTGAATATGATGGCAATGTCAATTACCAAATCTCAACCAGGTGATCCCGAGGCCCCCCACAATGACCCAACTCAATTTATACACCCGCAAGATGTAAAGGGGGTGGGGGGATTTTGAAGATCCACAATCAGACCTGATCCCAATGGGGCTTAGGTTTTAGCCATGATACATGTGTGTTTTCTCAGCAGACAACTGGATTAACTAAGATGTTTTGGTACAATGTTCGTAATTATTTACTGAAAGCATTTTGGTAAAGTAAATTTTCCTGCCTCCAAGGAGAAATCTGACAAGCCTGTTTTGTGTTATCACGAACAGCACTGAAGAGGTTGTGCTGTTTTGTGTAGACTGGTCTCACACCAGTGGGCGTCGCTATTTCTCTCTAGTAAACAGCTGGACAGCAGTCCTGAAGGGATGCATTGAGAAGCCTTGAAATTCATAAAATCCTCCTGGAGGAATTGTAAAATGCTTATTTAATGTTTATAACTTATAGATGCACATTAGTAACTAAACACTGAGACTACAAATCCATTTTTGTGTATTTGTGCACATGTAGTACTTGTGGTATTTGCATCCATCTCCGAGTCCCTCCTCTTGCTTCCAATTATCTCAAAGGGCTGGACCGGTTACCCGATAAAGACTTCTGATTGGCTGGATCAAGTGTCAATCACAAGCTCATCCTGTAGACTCTTGTTGGCGAATACAGTCCACACCAGAAGTCAGAAAGTCAAAATTTCACCAAGGGGACACCAGGAGAAGGGTAGAGTTTTTCCTGGTTATTGTGAGCGCTCTTATCACGTTTCATAGTGAGGTTTTTTGACTTTTTAATACGTTTCTCGTTCATGTGGTTTCGTAGTAAACAAAAGAGGGGGGGTTAATTGGACTTGAAGACTTGTTGGCTCCTTTCTGTGGTATTTTTGCGTGCTGTGCCAGCGCAGCTGTTGGCGCACCTGAGTCCGCTATCCACTTTGTGCAGCGTGAGCATGACTTTAACGCATCTGAGCAACTAAACTATGGTGGTCACATTGCTTGGTGGTGACATGCCCGCTGTAGTGAGTCTTGATCAAAGCGCAGTCTCTCACTGTGGAACCGGAGTCCAGGTGTCACCAGGAAGAGCTGATGTGGCTGTTTGGAGCACAAGTTTGATGCCAGCTGGGATTTGACAGAGCGCAGGAGATTGGGATGCAAGAGAAACCTTAGAGAGACAATCCTCGGCTACTTTTACCTGGATTCAGCACGGGTTGCCCAGAGCCATGGCCTCTGAGGTGGTGTGCGGGCTGGTCTTCAGGTTACTGCTGCCAGTGTGTCTTGCAGCTGGTGAGTTGTTTTAAATCCTCACTTTTTTACGCATCTCCATGAGCCTATAGTGCAGTGTGTGCGCCAGGCGGGGTTGGGTGATCATTTAGTGATCAGTGATCTGCCTAATACTCATGAAGTTGGTTCATTGATATTTTTAAATTAGTTTACTATTCTTAAATGTAAGAATGCTTTTCTTAAAGCCTGACCCTTTTTTTTAAATTTGGAAATAGCTTTTTTATTTTTTATTTTTTACAGTGATGCAAATCTTTGTGACATTGATTAAAAATCTGATCATCTTAAGTGTTTGTGTAGGACTTTAAGAAACCAGTTTATGGTTGTGTTTTCATCATGCTTTGTGAGTGAACCTCAAGACGCTGGGGGTTTAGGATTGTCCCCTCTTCTCTGTTGAGGCCTGAACCCAGACAAACAGACTACACAAAATCACATACCAATTATTCTACATAAACAGCAAACCAGAGTAATAGCGTGTACACTACTCTTTACCTGTCATGGCATAGCTGACAGCTGATGTCCAGTCACCGCTGAGTGTGCATTAATTCAACCTTCTGGAGTCACCACTGCATTGCACAGTGTTTATGTCAGTTGGTTTGTGTAGAAATGAGACTACAATTAAGTGCTTTAACGGTGCTTAGTCTAAAATCACATGCAGACTTTTTTTAAAAATTCAAATCTGTTTTATTTCACTCTGAATGAGAAAGCATACAGAGCGGATGCTCAAACACTTAAATGACACAAATATATGTCACTATGCTTTTTACTGTTGGTTTCCATTGTGGTTATTAATGAGTCATCACTGTGGTTATTGGTTGTTTAGCTGCTGACTGGACATTCAATGCATACCTATCTGTTAATATTATACATTTTTATTTATATTGCCTTTATAGGATTGGAGGTCTCTTTTTAAACACTTTGTTAAAAAGTGCTCAGCTCTTGCTGTGTTATTGATGTTTTGCTTGATTCACTCTTCAAATCAAATCAAATCAAACCAAGTGACAGTGGGGAGGAAAAACTCACTTTAACGGAAGAAACCTCCGACAGACCCATTTGCTATGCAAATTTAGAAGATGATTCATACTCAAACTTGGCAGCTTATTTGGATTTAGAAGTGACTTTTTTAGCTTTAAGCATTTATAGAGTTCAGCATTTACTAGTTTCGCAGAAGAAAACACACTTAAATACAGATTTGTGGAGTTTAAGCTCGAGATATGTTCACACCATGGATGCGGAGTCTATTAAATGCAATTTACTTTGTCTTTTAAGCTGTAATTCTGTGGTAGGCCACAAGTGAAGAATAATTAGCATCTAACTACCACTGAGGTTCCACTGTGGTGTCTGTGTAAGACTTATTATGCTTAGGTACTTTTAAAGCTAACAGCATGCTTTCTATAGATAAGACCCACTCAGTACCACCATAATGCATCACTTGACAGCCTGATGCCCCCCTTTATTTCCAAGAACGATTGTGAGACCATGCATTGTCTCCATTAATTCGTGGAAAGTCGTTTTAACAGTATGAATTAATAATGTGGTTGTGAGGGAGAGAAGAATTGCCTTCCCTTTTATCGTAAACATACCTTTAATATTTTATGTTTTTTCAAAGTGCAAATGAGCTCTTGTCATTCACTGCAGCTGTACACAATAACTGACAGGATGAAGGAAATGTAAAGTGGAACGAAGGGAACGTATACAGGAACAGTCGGTGTTAGGGATGAGAGGAGGTATTTCTGTCATCAGTATCACATGATTTGCAGCTGACTTTCCTTCAGTCTGCTTTTGTAAGCCAAAAATGTTATCTTAATTAAAATTACTGGATGGATCTGTTGCAAGTCAGTAACAATCAGCAAACAGTGTAATGCTGATCTTTTTTTTTCACTATTTGTCTTGTTTTGTATAAAATCAGTGATAAAGTATGTGTGCTGAATAAACAGCACAGCAGATGTTATCTGGCTCCAGACACCTGCATCACCTTCAGTGTATATGTTCAGCAGTGTAATATATGTTGCAGATTGCAGTTTTTCTCATAACCTAGTGAAAGACTTGTCCGCTAACCTTACATAGTCTGTTTTTCCTGTTGGCCATCTGACAGCACCTCTATTGAAATGGACAGAACTGCTGTGCCCGTGTGTACACAGTCTTTCTACCGCAGACACACACATACAGTTGCACACTTTTACCGTTTCACTGATCAAACAGGCTGCTGTTTATGTGTTTACTGGCAGAGTTTGGAGTGTGAACATGATTATGAGCAGGAACTTTGTCAAATGTCTGATCTGATATTGAACATGGAGTGTAAATGTACAGACAGAAGGGGCAGGTTGCGGCAGAGTAAAGCACAAATAAAGAAAGAAGTGGCAGTGTACATGTGGATACTTACTGTAGCTTCAGGGAGCATCACTGGGACTGATGCTTGTTTCTGTTTTTGAGTTTTAACTTAATAAGACAAAATCAATTTCTGCTACCACATTGTTCCATAGATGCTGTGCTGGTGCATCACAAATATCTAAGAAGATACTGTTGGCACCACTACGGTGGTCCAGAGGGGAACTGGCTGTAAATATTAGGTGTTAAAATTTTTATCAGTGGTGATAACAATATACATTAACAGCCTAGTCTAATATTTTTATGGCTAGACATACTTGGGAACAAAAATCCGTCAGTGAAATCCACTCGGCATGCAAAGTCAGCAGAAACAGAGCAGTTATCTGTGGAAAAAATATTACTTTTGAAAGAAAGAATGCAGTTTTCCTATTACAAATGGGAAAATTGAATTCAAAAGCAGTAAAATACAAATAGTAGCCTATGTCCAAGCTCATTTCATTACTGTATATTTGAATTGCCAAATTAGCCTTACATAGTTTGATTACCGCTAGGTTAAACTAGCTAATATAAGCAAATTTCAGTTGACTTCTTTAGTTATATTAGTTACATTACTAAGTCACTATTATTCTAGTTGTACTAGAATAATGAAGAATGATAATAGAAGAATGATAAATACTATAACTGTTATTTGTGGTCACATTGGTCACTGCTCAGAAATGTTAGCTTTTATCGTTAGCTTGTCAGTAGTTAGCTATCCAGTAAGACATATCATCTATCTGAATTTAGTGAATGTAGAGCTGCAATGAATGGCCAATTTATCGATTAGTTAAATGACAGAAAGTAACTGGCAAAAAATTAATAATTTAAATTTTCAAGCAGAAATTGCAAAAAGTTGCTACAGTCATATTTTATGGAAAATTACAGCAGATTAATACTCACAGTCCTACTTTCCATCTTATAAAATATGAATATTTACTGATTTTCTTATTGTTTTATGATGGATAATTGAACATTTCTGGGCTTTGAACTGGTTACTGGGTGAAACTAGACCTTGGACTCCAGGTACTTGATGAGAATTTTTCACAAGTTTTTGGTATTTTATAGACCAAACCATAGTTATGTCAGCTGACAGCCTTATATTATTCTGTAAGCAGTTTAAGTTTTGTTCTTGAAATCAGAAATGTAAATTAAACTAAACTGCCACTGTCTAACTATTGGTAACCGTTGGATGTGACATCCATCACCCATCTTGACTTTGACTTTCAAATAGTAAACCTCTGCACAGTGCTGGTACAGCCTGACCTCATGTGGGAGGCTCTGTATTATTTTCTTCAGAATGGTTTAAATTCCTCTGATATCTCACAGAGCTCAGCCTGGCCAGGCACTGTACCGCCTTATCTTCTATCACAGTAATGTTTTTTATCTCAAACTCTGAAGTGAGCTGGCCTTGATTTCACATTTATGGATTTGTTGCTTCTCTTCTGTTATGGCTTTGTTTCTGTAATAATAGCTTTTTACTGTGAGAGACAAAAGCCTGATTCACCCTTGAATGGGGATTTTTTTCAGTAATCTGATGTCTGAAAACAACGGCAGTTTATTTTCATTCCCTGTGTAAAAATCCTCAGATGGTGAGTCATACAGCGGAGGCAAATGGTCAGGAAGGCTGCGGTCAAGTGTCTGCAGGCTAGCAGCTGGAACAAAGCCATACAGATACAGACAAATTATATCTATTTCCACACTGTACAGATACAAACAGAGCACTTTAGATGTGTAACTGAGCAGATGAATAATAGGGGTAATATCCACACTGCCATCTTGGGCAAAATAGTCACTTTTATACCACATTTAACAGAGATAAATTGCAGTGAGTTGGGATAGAAATGGTGGAAAGTGATACCAAAAAAAAAGTGTCATTCCCTTCTCATTTGCTTAGGCTAACCAACTTTTTGAAACCTTTTGAATATACACAATGATGAACATTAATGATAAACTGCTTTTTATGTCATTATATATGTGGTTTAGGCCTATTTGTCTGCATGTCAAGCATTCATGCATACTTGAAACTTAATCACAAAGATAATTCTACAAATGTGGCAGCCCCTATGGCATATTCATTTTTGTCAGTTTTCATTGGTCTGTATCAGAGCACAGAGAAAACCAGGAAGTTCACTTACTTCAGGGTTCCAGCAGGGGAATAGCCAGGGCCAAGTCAGATGTCAATGAATGGGTCTATTGAGTGTGCAAAGATAAATAAAGCACCATTTTAGGCAGTTAAGTGAAATTTCTTTTAGTAGTTCAAGACCAGTAGCTGCCCAGACGGACTGATCTTTATGACTTGGACGATAACTTGCGTGGCCGACCAGTCTGTGAACTCTGTACTTGTTGATATAGCAGCAAAGAGAAATTTGAGATGTTAAACTGCGTGTCCACATTTTATCCCGAGTCACTGACTTAAACATGTACAAAGAAAGGTCAGAAATTATGCACCTTATCACATATTTTGTGCATACTGGAAAAACAGAGTTCTAAATATCATGTGGAAAAAGGATTTTTTTTTTTAAATCTGATTTTACAGCTGTACTCAGTTTGTTAAAACTTAAAATGCCCTTAATGTGTAGGCTTCAGTGCCGAAATGGGTGTTTGCTACAGTCTGGTTCATTTTGGATGCGTTAATTGATGTTCAGTTCGTCAGGTGATGTGAGCCGTTTAACTGGTAAAAGCCCCAATCAAGGCAGATTGACTCGGGAAATTGAGGTGCGTTACGGATCAATACATCAATGAATGGTTTTTGGAAGTCATGTTTGCACTTAAGCTTTTTAACTTTCATCATGAGCTCAAAACACTTTCTTCATTTGCTTGGACAGGGTGTGTAGGTGGAGTGTTTGGGAAAGGGTGAGTGTTTGCAGTTGTGTTGATCTTGTGTAATGTGTAGTGACGCATCCTAAATGTAGAAACAGTGCATTAAATCCAAACTTGAATGAAGTTAAAGTTGAGTAGATTTGTACTAACAATAATACCATTCATGTCACACATCCTAAAACCCAAAGATATTTAGTTTGGGATAATATGAAACCAAAAAAGTGGCAAGTCCTCACATTTAAGAAATTGTATCCAGAAAAAAATGTTTGGCTTAAACAGCAGTTACTAGGTTAACTAATCATTGCAGCAGTAAATTAGAAAGGTTTAAGAAAAATAATCACTAACGAGCTGAGGAAACTGTTTATTTTAATGTCTTTATTTTACTGACACAAAAATCAAAGTTGGTGTTTTATTTGACGGATTTTATTTAATAGTCATCACTGACATACATTACAAAAAGTTCACTTTAATCGCTGTTATATCATTTCAATGCTTGATCAAAAAGACAAAAACCAATGCAGGTGTTTTTAGACACAAGCCATGACATTCCCACTCTTCATGCACTTGGTTGTGTTTCATATAAAGTTTTGGCAGCTGAAAGTTATTTTCCTGTTTTCCAAACTCTGAGGCGCATCATGCACGTCAGGGATGTGTGTCACGTGACGCTGCTGTGTTGCAAAACAGACTTTGCAGACTTTAATAATAAAAATGATTTCAGCAAAGCTCACAATCCATGAAATGCTATGGTAGTCTCGCAAAATGAAATCTTCATGTGATGCAGAGCTGCACTTTGACACAGCTGAGTACTATTGGGTGATGATTTTACTTCAAAACAAACATCAATTTTCTGAATGACTGAATTAAGCTCATGCTCTTTGCCAGATGAACTGTACCTGAAGCTTGTACCTTCAACGTTTTGTTAGAGAAATGTTCTGACTTTTTTTTGCTATGAGGAGCTTTTCTACACCAGGACTATGTTAATGAGTTTAAAGAGTTTCACCGCACGTTTCCCTCAGATTTGTGCTCAGTGACCAAGCAGCTTGTGCCCACTGCCAACTTCTGCATTGTATTTGCTTTCAAAAGTTATGTAATGCAGTATTAGACACCAAGCTCTAAATCATTTTGCTTTGTTTGTATTTAAATGCAGTTTTTGTTTTTTTTATTATGATTCAAAGGTGAATTTGTAGGCTAACTGTTCAATCTGTGTTTGTGTCTTTGTTTCTGCAGCTTGCCTATTCAGGTACAACGCCCTGTCCTTCGTCTACCTCATCTATCTCCTGCTTATTCCACTCTTCGCAGAGCCAACAAGCACAACGATGCAGGGTAAGAGCCACAGTTAACTCCCTCAGAAGCTTCACGTGTTCAGAGGCTTTGTACACTGTCGGGAGAAACTGGACTGTTTCCCAAAAGCCCCCAGTCTGAATTGTAATATTGTTCCCTGTAATACAAACCAGCCCTTCTCCAGGGAGCTTGAATTTCCTTGAGATGAGGTTGGATTTGGCACATAGCTCAATCCATGAAAGGTAATATTGGTTAATGCGGGCATGAGTCCCTCTGTAATAATAAAAATGATCCACTGCTAGCAAGATCCGATAAAGTAAGTTATGAACCATTAGCGCCTCATGTCCAGCTGATGGAAGTTAACATTTTAGGCTAAAAACATAAAGGAAAAGACAACAGAACACATAAGCTTTACAGCTGAGACAGGAAACACAAAGGAGCCTATAAAATGTCTCCACTGATTCTTTAGATTGGTTTTGTTTAGTAATATTATCTGCAAGCATTGGACAAGTGTTATTAGATCATTCAGACCACGTTAAGGAAGCTTTGACGTCTTTGGTATTTTGGTTTGGTAAATGAAAGCTCAGCGCTGATGAACTGCTTCATTCTCTGATGACTACTGTATGTCATGGCTGCTTGTCCTAAAGAAAATAGAAATTGCAGTGGACCTCTGGGGCTTATGAGAAGTGGCTGAGGTGACCCTTCTCCTGAATGTGGGATTGTGGTCACCAAGCTCGGCCACGCCTCACCGCACAATACTAAATGGCACACCTCTTTCAGACCGCTCATAATATGGGTTTCTGTAGGAGACCACATGCAGTGTTTAATAATATATAAACCAATATTGGAGGAGGGAACAACACCCAGTCCGAGAGCCGTCTCTGCTCGTCTCCAGCTGAAATAACAAGCAGGAAGTAAAGGAGGAAGAGAGGAATGGGGGAGGAGGGAGCAGCGAAAGTGGACCACTTACACTCTCATCAATAGTTAAAGAGAGAAGTCTTCTAGTAAAGCTGAATGTTCATGTACATCTGAGAGCTGTTGATTTAATGGTTCAACAGTTATGTCAGGATGTCTTATCAGCGTAAATCATAAAGTGGCGCTGTAGCCAAAATATCCCGTCTACCAGTCAAGATTGCACAGTTGTAATAAATACTCTAACATGAACAACAATTAGTTTTTGTACAATAAAATAAATTAGTTAATGAGTTGCCTGGGCTGCAACTAATGATTATTTTTGCATTTAATCTGTTCTATATTTTTTCAAATTTACTTTAGTGGTTTAATCTTAAATGTTAAAAACAGGTCCCCAAAGTTCAAGGTGATGGCTTCAAATGCCTTGTTTAGTTTTGTTTGACCAACAGACCAAAACTCAAACAGATTTAAAATAAAAGCAGAACATCACTGGAGTAATAGGAAGAAGCTAGTTTTTGGAAACCTGGTTCAAAAAAATGACCCAAAGATGTAATCAGTTATTATCTTTTTATTACCGTGAACACTGGCGATCATTCACCCTGTGATGGAGTGTGTACATAGTCGGTTTATCCCAGTTCTATACCCCATTCATTCAGCAACTGGAAAGCAGTTCAGCCAGGTGGCTTTTCTCTTTGGGTTGTATGAAGTCAGATTTTATGAACTCATGATAACATACTGTTTAAAATACCGCACAGCATAGAACATTGACTTCCTGCAGAAATAAAGCAAAGATTTGTTGAATTGACTTTTTCAAGATGGCATCTAATTTACATACATTTTTGCTTCTCCTACTTCCACCAGTGTAAATAATATTATGACGAGTTGTTTTTCTGTTGCGTCCTTACACTGGGACAAGTCCAGACGTTCGTCTCCCAGACAGCTCTGTTGTCACTACACTGGAGACTTCTGATTTCTATCCAGGCCCTTCCAGTAGCTTTAAGGACTCTTGTGTATAAAATCATTTCACAGCTCTGTATACAGTTACTAATGATGTAGTTCAAATTTCTGCTCCCACTTTGTTGCCTTTGTTTGGTGGTTTGTTGTCCTTACTCTGACGTAGCCGGTTTGAAGCAGCGGATGTGACATCAAGTTATTACAATCTGAATAAGAGACATACGAGACTCATTTGTTTGTTGTTCTTTCTCATGAGTATTTGTTGTTGGGACTCTTGAAAAGAGATGATGCGTCTCAAGGGTTTGACTGACGTGACCATCTGAAAGGAGCTGTTTTCTTGGTGTCGTCATTGTTCATTTTGGTGCATAAGAATCCACTAAAGTTTGCATTTAGAGGTGAGGATACTTGAATGAATACATTTATTGTCAAAACTGTGCAGACAAATGTTAGCACTGTTTGTGCGCTGATGCTCTCAGCAGGCGGCTGGTGAGCTGCAAGTTGAAGCTCTCCCCCCCCCCAAAACTGTTTGTCATGGCAATTTTCTACCAGACCTCTAGCAAGAGGATTCAGACCAAACAGCCTTAGCAGTATTGATCCCTTTATTGCTTAAGCAGACACTGGATACAGAGAAAATCCAAGTGCAACTCTCCTCTCTAGTGCTCCTATCCTTATGTACTCGTTGCTCCTGTCTGCCTTTCATTCTGTGAAAGCGTGCACTCATCCTACTTCTCAAAACACTCTTCACATGCAGCCACTGTCTACTCTTTGTTTTTGGCGTGATTCATAATTCACTCAGTTCCCTCAAAGGAGAGGAGGCATGATGAAAATAATAACCTCACACACTGTGTAGTCTTTGACCTTCAGTTAGTGTCTCTCACCCTGTGAGAAACCAGCTGCTTGGCTTGAGTCTGCGGAAATAACAAGTCACCTTATTGTTTTACATGAGCACACGCAATTAGCCTACACAGAGTGAGACAGCATGTTAATATAAAGCATCAAATTCCTTCACGTTGTGAAAGTTGTCAGAAAATTTGCTGATCAAAACACTGTGCCAGCTCACAGCAGGACAACCTTTCAAATGCTCTTTAGCTGAAGTTTGTGCATTCTCTGTCTCTGATCACATTGAAGCCGTGAAACTCTTTTTCCACGAGGCCCTGCTCATCAGCTGCAGTGCATGTGATAGTCTTTACAACATTGTGTGTTTGTGTGACCTTCACCCAGACATTATTGACTTCACTGCAGAGTGTAAAGAAGCAGAAACACAAAAAAGTACAGGAAATTGCCAAAGGCATGAGATATTCTTCATGTTTAACACCTGCCAGGACATGAATCCCATCTGTGTGCCTCACCTGTCTGTCATCGGTGGGGGAGGACCGTGGGCTGACATAGGAGACAGTATGAGGAAGTTGCAGTGAACAGGGTTTTAGTAATGGGATTATTTTTGACCAGTGACACTGGTCTACCATTTAAAAATTGAAATGTGTTCATTTTTATGGGCTTTGATGAGCTGAGCTGACCTTTAAAAGAGCTGATTGATAAAGATAATGACACCTTTTGACTTCAGCAGCAGAAGTTGATCTCTGGAGCTGACGTATGAACATAATAAGCACCTTAGCTGAGACACAACACCAGCCTATGGTTTCACTTAAGAAGCTTGTTGAATCAAAAGCTAATAGTTTTATCATCAAGAGTTTTGGTTGTAATTTCTACAGCCTCTTCTTTAATGAAATTGTAAACTATTATTATTTTCTTATTTTAAATTTATAAAAACTGAAGCAAAATTCATACACTGCCATAATTTACAAATCAGAGTCGCTCAACAATTTTAGATATTATTTTTTTCCCAGTGGCCCAGAATTAGCAAAGCATTCTGGTTATATATTCGTGTTATGAAGATACTGTAAACTAAACTACAGGGAAAAGTATTTACTTTGGACTCAACATACAGTAATAATTTAAAATCAGGTGTTTGTGGTTGAGAAAGATTGTGATAGCAGCACTGTCTCTTGTCTATTTAATTGTTATTGTTTATAATCATAGGTTGTAGAGTTAAAACCTTCTCTTCATTTCAGGTTGTGGCATCCTATATTTCAAATGTTCACCTAATCAATCTAGGCTGCACTGATGGTGCAAGCTTTAACAAAACATCTTCTGGTTCTGAAAAGAGACACTACATTTTAAATGATTTTAGAGAGAATCAGGAAAGTGACTGAACTGAATTCGGTGCCTTGTGTTGATGGTCTGTTTCATTTTGTCTTGTCCAATCTTACAGGACATATAGCAGTTAAAAACCGTAATGTTAATTTAAACCAAATGTTATACATGAATAATTCATTATGTGTACTTTGCTTTGCAGCGCATTATGCCCAAGGATGCACCAGTATACAAGACTCCAGTCCTAACTGGAGACAAACAATATCTCATGCAACTTGTTGTTGTTGTCTGTGATTTACTCTCTAATGTCATAATTGTAGTATTTGGCTCCACTCCCCCTGAAGGCATTCAAATCTCAGTGGAGGTGAACGAAATCTAAACTGTTGCACTTGTTTGGGTAGCAGGAAAATCAGGCTTTGTAGTAGGTGCTGTATGCCTTGTTGAATGGACACGGACACGACTGTTTCCCTTAGGGGAGTCTTTTAGTACTGTTGCATGAATTTGTATAAATATTTGATGTTATGGTTGATTTATCAGGTTTATGTTTTAGCTAGTAGACTTCTAACTGAGGGCGCCTGGCTTTAACGCATCTCCTAGTTTGGCTCTGTTAAAATCCATTTTTCTCATACCTTTGTAAATGGCTTCGGACACCTTTTTGTCATTTAAGTCTGGCACGGGCTTCCTCAGAAAGGGAAAAACACACCGGTGTTCTAACCATTTCGTTGGCCTATTCCGAGACTATATTTTGGCACAAGAATGTGGCTAATTAAAGTTTTAATGCTGACATGTGGATATGCTTCCTTGATTGATTAGACAGAAAACTGTTATATCTGAGCAGCAACCTCTGTTTTTGAGGCATTTAAAAATGACTTTTGGGACAGTATTTTGAGGCTGAATACGTATATGGAGCAAAATGCTACTGTAGTTCACAATGAGGGTCAGGAAACCGAGACAGATGGCTGCCCCCACAGCCAAAATCTTCTGTTATGCATAGGTAAAAGGGGGACAGAACCAGAGCCGCTCAACCTACGTTTCACCTTAGTCAGAATGTTGTAACATAGTAAAACTGTTACATGTCCAAAGTTAAGATGCAGAAAATTTAATTAGTTGGAGATGTTTCCCTGTGAAGTGTGAATATGTCGGCCAATTTGCTTTGCCAGGACTGGCAGCACAGCAGGGGGCTTTACTGTTATTTTGTCGGCAGAGAAGCTCGTCCTTCCCCCAGGATGAACCGGGGTTCAGAAAAATCCCACTGCAGAGAACTGTTACCATAACATCTCCTGAAATTATCTCAAATACCTGTAGGTACACCATAAAATGGCCATGTGTTGACCAGCTGTGGCAGCTCCTCAGACTGCTCTCAGCCATCCCTCCCAGGCGCAGTAATGTTTACTGACAGCTGTTTTCTTTATCTGCAGGGTCAGTCAACATGTTGCACTTCCAGTTTTGGAACAGCTGAGTACTTAACAGCTACTCTAACTAGAAATGTCAGAGAACTCAAAAAGGAGCACAATTTCATCCGTGTGTTGGGCAAATTTCTCTGGGTCTAAAACACAAACCAGCAAAGTGACTTTTTCTCTGTTTCAATGCAACAGTAACATGTGGAACTCCTTAAACTGAGTGGTAGTGGTGAACTTACTGGGGCTGTTTTTCCTCCTCCAGGCCACACAGGGCGTCTGCTGCAGTCTCTCTGCTTCACCAGTATGTCCTTCCTGCTGCTCCAAATCATCTATCAGATTACCATCAACAGCCTTCCGACCAGGAACTCCATCGCCTCCAACATCACCTCCGACTTCAACTGTGAGTGTGTTTACAGATAAGGCTCCAGAGGTGGTGACATTTTTTCACTATGTAGCAAAAGAAATCACCTTATACAGTAGGTAAAGAATCCAGGGAGGGAGTTGACTGATTAAGTTTGAGTTAGGTTTTTTTTTTTTTTTTTTTTTAGAAGACAAACATCCATGCTTATAGAAAAAAATAACAGACTAATGAAACCACAGTCAATACTTTTTGTTTTGTAAATGAGTGGTTTCATTGTTGTATGACAGTTGCAGTTCTGTTTGATACTTCATCTTTCTGCCAAATGGATTTTGGAGTAGACTGACTGGATTATGTTCACTGGCAATATTTTCACACTCCTGTAAGTGTTGTAGCCTATACATAAAATGGAGGTGGGTGCACAAAGCGCAGGACGTGTCCTGTTTGTGGTTATGTTTGGCCTACTAAACCACTGTAGTTAAAATAGGTTTGACACAGTGACATAGTCTGACATACTCGTATGGAGGGTATGCTATGTTCAGGTCTGGGTTGGGTTCAGACACATATTGTAGGTGACACTTTAAGCTAGACAGCTGGAACACTCAAATATCTGCTTCGTTTAAGCAAAGTACAAGCTCAACTGCGTCTGGTTCGGGTCCAATTTAGATGCCACACCCTCGGGCACAGGTTGGGCTCAGACAGAAATATGCAGCCCGATCCATGCTCTAGTTTGACTGTGTTTGGATATACGTTTAATTGCTTTCTTGCTAAGTGTTAGATGCGAAAATTAACATCACTTTGACATCTGTCTGTTCAGTATGAAGGTGAATCCTGATTAGCTTAGCTTAGCTTTAATCAAACAAAGATCAGAATCACATTTATTGGCCAAGTATGTTGAACACACAAGGAATTTGACTCTGGTACAGAGGCTGTCAGTGTGCTTTGTAAGGCAGCAAGAAAAATCTGCTTAAATAAGAAAAGATAAAGATACAAAAACAGTTTATAAGTATATACACATTGTGGTCGAAGAAAAGCTATATTACCACAACTATATTCAGTGGTTTTATTTACAAATGATTGCCCTGGGGTGTTTGCTGTATCCTGTTGTACAGACAGATTAACGATTAAAACAATTCAGAGCTGGTGGCGTGACAAGGGACATTGCCGCTACAGTAATACCAAGTATTCCCAGATTCTAGTCTTTTAAAATGAAAGGCTTTGCTGTTGTTTTCTCCTATGTCATTGTAAACTAAATGCTTCAGTGTTTTTGGACTTGTGGTTGTTGAGATAGACTACGCCATTAATCGATTATTTGCACAAATAATCTTATTAGTTGCCGTTCTGTCTTATTTTAAGAGCACCATCTTTTTCCGTACCCGAGCTACGTGCTAAGGGTAGCACCTCAAAAATGTTAATCATGCTTTAGTAAGTTAATACTCTACAAAAAAGAAGGGACAAAACATTGCCAACCAAAGTTTTGAAGACACATTCAGTATGAATATTTTGTACAATAAAATATTTTCCCATTATAGTGATAAAAAATGTGCACAGTATAATCTTTGTTTTACAGTTTAAGGGGGAATCCAATTAGTTCTAAGTGGCTCTGTTTTGTGCAGAACGAATCTCTCACTCTGCAGCAAAACGGTGAGATCTTGACTTACTGAGCCATGTTCCTGGCAGACTGTGTGCACACGTGTGTTGCATCCATCACACAGGCCGTTCTGTGCTTAAACCCTGACCTGAGCTATTGTTGGGCGGTCACAGGATTGTATATCATGAGAAAAGGTGTTGGCTTTTTTCCCCTAGAGCCCCAGAGAAAGTAATGAAGGCATGCTCCAGCTGCAGGAGTAAGTAAAGTATGCGTTCTAATAATGTCTCATTATTTCTACGACTATACTCACTGCATTTTGTCACATTATGAAGATTTACAAATTTGGCACATTCCTCAGTGTAATTAGCTTCCTTGTGCCATATGGACAATGTAGAAAAAAGATTCTTGCAGTCAGTAAAGCAAACACTGTGCTACTGACTCCGTGCTGTAGATGTGTTAATGTTTGGCCTTAGGGTTCGCATACTGTAAACTCTGGATCAAACTGTAAAATTTCAATGTGTCTAGATGAGACGGACCCTGACCTTGTGCTCTAATGGAAGTAACTTACTTTCTGTCGTCGGAGTTCAGCCAACGTTGCTCAGAAGGCAGAACGAACCTTATCGCTCCGGGCTGAAACACGCAGCGCTGTTTAGAGAGGGCAGACTAAATATTCACTCACGGAAATCTTTATTACTGAGGTTTCAAGGGCTGCAGTTTTTGGCAGATCAAACCATAATGTGATGAAATCATAAAGTGTAACCATCTACTGTATCCCCTACAGTATGGTTTATCCATCTGTCTATTGATTTATTTTAATAATAGCTACTTTAATTAACTGCATTGTAAAATGTGAAACACATTAATATGCTTTGTGAATCTTTGCAACATAATTTACACTTTGATACCAGTGAGGTAACCGGTTGATTTATCGGTTGGTTAAAAGATTTTAATAGATAGATAGATCAGAAAATATAGAAGAGTCCAGTGGATGAATGTTAAAATGAAAACCACCAGACAGGCACACATGTAGAATTCCACAAGGAATATTTTTAAATCATATGCAAGTCTGTGTAAGGACTGTGGTTATCTATAAGTTTTTAGTTTCAGATTATACATCATCCAGTTCCACTGGCACATGAATGAGTCATTATCTGCAGCATTTAGCAGCAGAGACCCTGTAAGTCAACCTGTATACGATGTTGCCAAATATTTTATATATGAATACAGAGAGAAACACACTCTGACTTGTATCCATATTGTTGAGATGTCAAGTCAATGCCATCGAATTCCTGTTTTCGCTGTTGGACTATGGATGCAACAGGAAGTCCGCCTTCATTCTTGTGAAAACGCCTCATCTCAGGTTTCTATATCTGGTGTTTAGTCCCCTTGACACCCTTTTCCTTTTGGCAGCCATGTATAAACAAGGAGTCCTCCTTTTGCAGTGTGGCGTTTATTCTCCCCCCAGGATAACTCCACATAATTTCCTTTATTCACTGTAGCCAAATACACCATTAGAGCAGTAAACTGAGTTTAAAATGAATGAGAAAACCTTTCCAAAAAGCTAACACCTCCAGCTGTTAGAGCAGGTCAGTGACTGGTCAGCAGATGAACCAGCTTCCTCTGAGTCATTTGCCATTCCTCTGTGGTGACTCAACATGTGGGAAACTGCATTTATAAACACTTGTAAAAGTTTGTATTTATGATCAAAGAGCACCAGATGAGTGGAGCTTAATGTCAACTACGCTGTCAGAGTGACCACACTGACTTTCAGATACTGCCCTGTGATTGTCTGAACTTTTTGGCTTTGTTGTGACCCCCACCTGTCTGGCCACTACATTAAACCATAAAAAAAAGAATTTGAACAGCCTACTGGATGGCTGTCTTGCGCCCATCTCCTCAGATATAGTTTTCAGTAATTCCTCTACATGGCATTGATGACTTTTACCGCCCTCCAGATCCACAGTTATCCAACATTTACTGACTTCTCCCTCAGCTTACAGATTGTCCGATAATAGTTATGATGTGCTGAAATGTTGACGCCGCATATTACCAACCTCTGCGGAAAAGGGCAACTTTCATTAGGCCCCAGAGATAGAAAAAAAAGTGCAAAGTGCTGCACTGAGAGGTTAACAGCCCAGCAAGTACAACGGGTATTTTATGATGGTCGCTTAACCTTTCAGGACAGGTATTTTTGGTACCCAGCTGGGGTGAAAAATGGTCTCGTCTTGACAAGAAGAAAGCCTCACACTCTCTTTAAAAAGCCTCTATGCTGAGTTTAACCTGTATTACACAGTACTCCTCATCTTATCCTATGGATCACACTAATCTCACTCTACCGCTGGCATTCCTCAGGTGTGATGTCACAGGGTGGGCTTCCTCTTACACCTTTAGGCTCAGCTCAGATTTATTATAAGCCAGAAAGTTTTTTTTTTCTAGGAGAGTTTAGAACAAGAAACGCTAGTTTTTTCTTCAATGTCTCCTTTTCAGACGGAGTCACTGGCTCCATGCTAATACAGTAGTTTAAATTGTTTGTTATGCATGTGTTCACAACAGTATCTTCGTCATATCATACAACAAATCCTAGCTATGCTCAATATACAGTGAAGGTTAAGATTACATATTTTTGCTGCTGTTTGAACAGAAGTATGTATAAGGAACGTTTAGCTCAGGAGCTGATAGCAGGCAGAGCACATATGATGTTGGGATGAATTAGCTTCAGGTAGTTCACCTATCTTCTCTCTATATTGTGGGTTTTCCATTGAATAATAAAAATGTTTTTAGGCATATTTTTGAATAATGTTGATTGTTTGTTTCTTTATTATGGTGAAGTTTTATAGAAACCTTGAATAAGTGTTTTGTGGATTTTCCAAGGTACATTTGAAACCATTGGTGCACAGTATGTCATGTGACTGGTTACTGACCACTGGCTGTTCAGTCATCAGAATCATCTGTTAGAGATTATTATGTAAATGGTGAATTTGAAATGCAAAACACATTTGTAGTTTTTTTTCTGCTTTAAATTCTATTATTAAAGCTACAGTAGCCTATGAAACTTTTTCAAATATATTTTTTAAATCTGCTCCAAAACTTGTCTTAATGTGATGAGGTGCTGTCGCAGCCTCCTGTGACCCAGACTCCTTGAACAGCACTGGCAGCAGTGCAGAGATATTAGCCTCTAAAAGGTTCTGAGTCATTTTAAATGATTTCTGCTTGCTCAGTAAGTTTTGGTGCATTCCCATTTATTGTAATTTCATAATGACAAATATCTGAAGAGCGTGGCGGAGCGTAGCGCGTAGTGGAGCAGGGAGGAGGAGCGTTGGGTTGAGCAGGGTGGGTCGGTTTGGCGTTTCATGTTGGTGCCACCTTAAGTTACATACTGTGGGTTTAAGTTTAATCAACAGATAATCCACATAACAGTGCACAACAACCTCCCAACACATCCAAAGAAAAAAAACTCTCCAGTCCAGAATATATGCGCCTCTTCACTGATCAGTCACCATACCTTATTCTACTGTATGTCACCAAATTTCTAAAATTTGCAGGAGGTTCTACACAGATGAGAGCCAAACCATCAATAGTAAAGTCTTTAGATCTGTTGAAAAATCTAAAAAAGGTGACCAGATATTCAGAAACAGCCCATCATCTTGTTAGGTATTTTTAGTCAGATAGATATTGGATAGATACTTTATGTATTAGAAATGTTTAGTGGAGATAGGATGTCTAGTTAGACTGTTAAATGCTTAGGCATGCTTATGAGTTTCTACAGGGTACATCTGGTCAAGGATAACTAGAGAGAAGAGTTGATGACTGTCAGCAGACAGGGTGTTTAATATTATTATTATGACGTGTATAACTGTAGCCTTAGCCATAATATGTTCTTATGTTTAAGTCACGACATGTTACTAGAGTCTCGGTTGACGTTTCTGTGTAGTATGGGGCTAGCCCAACCGAGGTGATATAATGTATAGGCCTGGTGGGTTCAGGGTCTTTCATCTTACATCTGCCTGCGAGCAGTTTGGAGGTGCAAGATACCTGAGCGTGTAATGTTAATTTTACCTGTGATCCTTTGAATAAATCAGCACTGTTTTGAAGTTACTTGGACTGTCTCGTCTCTCAGAGTTAGCAATGGTAAGAAGAACCACAGTCCTTCAGTCTCCTTTCAAAAACCTGTAGTTATGTGTGCAAAGTTATAAAAGAGAATATGTAGACATCCCTGGTGTGCCCTGGAATTCTGTATTTTTGTGAGAATTAAGATCCATAATTGTAGAAAAAAATTATGTGAAGGCTTAAACAGAGACAGTTTTTAGAATATACAGTACTGTTATTGAGTTCCACTTGTAAAATCGTTATTATAGTGTCATATCACATTTTTCACTGCAGTGATGTTTCTGGCCTTTAGCCTTCACAGGGGTGGTGTCCAGCAACACTGTTTGGTGCCACCGTCTGCTGTCTATCACTGAGTAAATAATGGGAGTACATGTGTGGAGTTCTTCTGTTTTTTGAGGAGGCCTGTGGACAGAGTGTTGGATGTTTGTTGAATTTCCCAGCTACTTCTGTTGTCACACACCCCCTGACCACCACTCAGTGTATTTTTCTACATCTTCCTCAACCAAAATTCATTTTATTTGTGATGAGAAGGAGAAATTCAAAAGATAGGTTTGGCTGTTGCACTTTAGCTTCAGCCAGGCATAAAGGATTTAGGCACTTCTGTGCTGTTCTTGTATCAGTTTTTGTTACTGATGAGTAACAAGTAAACACTGGTATTTGAAATTAAAGTAAACACTGGGATTTGTGCTGACAGCCCATTACTCTTTTATTCACCTGTCTGTTTCTTGTTTCTGACAACGTGCCTAATCGTGTGAGTCATTCCTTTACTGGATATTTGATGCCTGTCATTTAGCAGAAAAGCATTTTAACTCTGACAGTAGTTTCCACTTTGCACTTTATCTATTTCCCTCAAATTTTTACAACTGAAGCTTTTCAATCCAAAGTGTCAACACACTGGTAAAAGTTTGTTGGTACTTTTTAATGCTTAATGGTGTAGCTCACAGGCTCTAAAGGTATTTTTATAGTCTGGACTTTGAATAATTCAGAAATATTGAACCATCATCTGAAAGTAATGGTCGTGTTTTCTTTCTCTAAAAATGATATTGGTGACGACAAGTGCTGCTTAACAACCTCCTGAATGTAGCTGTGGTTTGCACTCAGGTGATACAACAGATGGTCAGTCTGAATAATTGCTTGGTTCGCTGTCTGTGTTGATTTACACTCGTCTAATTCCAGCGCTGTCACCGGAGTGTGTTTAACACCTTCACTCTGCTCTCTGTGCTCCATAAATCAGGAACCACAGCACCTAATTAGGCGCCTAATACATCGACAAAACAGCCAAATAGATCAATATGCCATGCTGTCGAGATCCTCAAGTCACAATCCGATGTCTTGTTTTCTCTGGCAGTAGAACAAAGGCCAATTAGGCATCATCGGTTCTACTCAGTGTGTCAGTTGAATACCTGGAAATCTCTCTCTGAGCACTGGAGTAGTGTTCAGGAACATCAAACTGTGGAAACACGTCTCACGTGGACTGGCTTTATTTTTTTGTTCCAACAGCGAGCGCAGAGAGAGTCATTATTTTCCTTCAGCTGAAAGTGAAATAATAAATGTTAAAGTCTATTTATTTCTTTGCCAACAACATCCATATTCACACAATAAATTTGTTTTTGTCTAGGTTCCACGTGGGAGAAATCCATTAGGCAAATTGGCTTTGAGAGGTAAGATGAATTTAACACTTTCATATTAAATGCATTTAGTATACTGTAATATTCTGACAGTATATTTACCTGATATGACTTAGAACCGTTATAGCAAGCCTGATGAGAGCTAGGCTATAAATCTCTTTAAGTATCTGTTTCTAAATCACATTTCTCCTGATGACCATACAGTATAAAATATGCAAATGTGAGCTTCCCAGTTCTGCAGTTCAGATGCTTTTTCAGGAAGTGACTCAGCTCAGTGGCTGTTGGATGCTGAAAATAAGGCTGAGCAATATGATCGGCCTTACACAACAGAATAGGATGCTACTTTTTGAATGAGGTATCTCTTCATTTAAAATCAACAACCCAAAAGAAGAGATTATTTTTTATTCCCCGTGATGAAGATCATACATGTGGTTCTTATCTTTACTCTTTGTTTTAAATATAGCAACTCCACAATAACATTAAACACCACTTTTTGCGTTTAGGCACGCTGGCTCGTCATCGGACAAGGTTTTAAATGCCCCCAACCTGTCCCTGTGTGGATTCTTGATGAACGCTAAACCCATTTACGCCTGACAATCAGTTGACAGGCTTATTTTTCAAAGCTTTTGCCACTCTGTCTGTCTCCTCACACCCCGGTGATCGTATTAGATGTGGTTTCCTAAGTACGGGAATGTCCAAAGTCAGCCACGTCCTTTTTCCAGTACTCAACAGCCCTCAGTGGATAGTATACTGTAAGTGGCGGAAGTAGAGCCATAAACATTTTATCCTGCCAGCATTTACCTGTTTGTGTTGAGGAGCATATACAGTATATACAATATTTACAGGTGCATTTGCTGCACAAGCAGATGCTTTCTCCTGCTTACTGCCCTTGTGGAGGAAATGTAGAGCTCAAGCCAGATGTAATGGGGTTTAACGAGAAGTCGCAGCTGATGTCATCGCACAGAGATCCTTCAGTTTCCTCCATCTTGACCTTTTCAAATCCTTTTTAAAGACCAAATATTTATATGATGTAGGATGTATTTTGTGCAATCATTATTTGACATGTTTAACAAGTAAATGCTGTGGCAGCCCAAGGTAGTGAAGACTGCTCTTAGCACTGCTAATGTTATTGTAATTCTCTCACATGATAAGCACAGGAAAAAGTAAAGTTGTTGGCTCGGACTGTTTCCATCGCTTTCATCTACGTGAGGATGCACAAAGCTTCAGATGGCCTTGATTAGATGCCGACTATTTGTCCAAGTGTGCATTTTCCATCATGTTGATTGTTTTCAACTTATTAACTTTTATGAGCTTTATATCCATCCAGGGGCACAGTGAGATTGGTCTCCTTTGAAACAGCAAGTTGTTTTATAACAGTTTTTCTCTGCAGCCTGTGGCACAGAATCACCAGTGTGTTTTTTTTTGTTTAGTGTAATGCAGTTGAAATGCAAAGACAACACTTGGTGGCTGAACACAGGATGCAACGCGGTTGCTGTAAAACCGATATAGAAATTGTTTGCCATGATAAAAGTAGTTTTTCAAGGGCAGTTTTTAATTGGCTTTAATTGTACAGTACAGGCAATCATGACATGACACCTCCATAAAATGTGTTATCAGACAGCCAAAATACATCACTGTGGCTCATTTGAAGCCTGATGTTACTGTAGCCCTCGTGACCACTGATTAGCTTCCTCTGTGAACAAACCTCTTGGGTTTTGGTTAGAGGTGAGTAGATAGAAAAGCTTTGGTTTCCTACAGAGATTTAACTACCACACTCTGAACGATGTCACATTTTAATCAAAAACACACACTGTATATACCAGAAATGGGATCAGTGCTGTTTATTTTAGATTGCTACAACATAGTCATAGTGTTTTGTGTTTACTGCACGAAGCTGTGATCAGTAGGAATAATAATAACTTAATTTACATATTCAGTCTGAAAAAGCGTAGTATTAGTCCTATTAAATTTATTTCATGCAGTTGCATAAAAAATGATGGATAATTGTTCATGCTTCCTTATTTTGAACAAATAATGCTATTTTTAAGGGAGTAAAAATGGTTTTACAGTTCAGTGAAAAAACAAAACAGAACAGCCTTTGTTGCTTAAATGGAATTTCACTCACTTGTTAACAGCAAGACTGTTAAAAGCAGCCTGATTTCATCACAGTGGGTGGCACTCCATATAAAAGCTGAAGTGTTGAACACAACACATATTATAAGAACAGCTGGATAATGAATAAAGCCAGATTCCCATGCATTTGTGTGAACAGGTGGTGATGTAATTGCTGCAGTAATATTTGTTCTCATGGGGTTGAGTGTGGTTCCAGTCTGCATGAACACAGACACTCAGCAGAAACCTTTATGGAAGATTGTTGAACCAATCTTGGAGCAGAGGAAGGTGACAAATATTCAGCGCCAGACTCAGGCACACAGGGCAGTACTGGTTATTTCTGGGCCATGTCCAGATGCCAACCGCAAGTTCTATATTGTTTTATATTAGGATGATCGTCCATGAACAGTTAAGTTTGTGCTCTGTCCTATTTCCCATCATTGAGCCCTAGCCTGCGAGACTGGGATCCATCTGTACTTTGAGGAAACACACATCTGATTTATGTCAGTGCGTATCCTCCGTTTCCTGTTTGTCCCCAGCGTGATCGGGGCAGATGCGGGGAACGGCATCCGAGTGTTCATCCCTGACATCGGCATGTTCATGGTCGGCTTGGTCATCTGGCTGCTGTGTCGCAGCCTGGTCCAGAAGAGGCCGCCTGAGGACATGGCCCAGTACAACGCTGACTTTGAAGCAGAGGAACAAGTGGGTTTCATGTGTGGTGACATGCAGTGTCCAGAAAACAGTGTCTGACTTTTACTTTTCTAATTTGTCCTGCTCTATACACATCTTTTCATGACATTTATTGGTGATATAGAACAGTAAGCTGTGTTGTTTTTGTCTAGCCAGCAACCCAAATAGAGATATTGTACTAACAAAAACATACGGAGAAAATCAGCCAATTCTCATATTTTAAAAAGAAGTAGTGTAGTATTTTTCCTTAATGAGTTACTTATTAATCTGGTAGAAATGTCATAATTACACCACCGCAGACCTTTATTTCCATAAAACTAAACCGAGGAATAAAAATATCTTGAGCATTTTTCACAGAAACTGAGTTTAGATTTCTGGACTGGGAAAAGGAGATTCTTTTTAAGACTAGAAGCTTGACAACATTTCCAGGCATCAGTTAAGGTTTCTGACACAGTGATAATAGAAAAATGAGAAGAAATGTCCGCACACTGAATTATGCAAGCTCATAAAACAGATTTATTGCATCTTGCTGCAAGACGATGGTCTGACGAGACTCACCTGTCCTGCGCCTGTAGCCTAGTTAGGGTGGATGTGCACACTTTTCACTCTTATTACAGCAGCAATAGATAACATTTAGCAGCACACTCTCATACTTGATGTATGCAAACAAAAGGCACTACCTTATTATGTCGAAGATAATTGATTAGATTTAGTTATTATTACGATCCATTTTTCATCTCCAAAATGGTAAATAAAGCAGCCAGCAGAGTGGAACGTTGATGACTTGGAATATAACCACCGTCCTCTGGCAAGTCCTCCCATCGTTGTTAATTAAATCCACATTGACTTTCACTTTGTCTGTGCTGCTCACGCTGGCACAGATGGCATCGCTCCCCATTACTGAGAAACACCAGAGATTCGTCTATAGAGCCTGTGTCGTGTTCAGGCTTTTATTTCTGTCAGGGAGCCATCTGAACTGAAATTGTTGCTTGATTCAGATGAGGATTTTTACCACCTGCCACTTTTTTATCTAGCACCTTATGTGTCCTATATAAATGACAGTTAAAGTCCCTCTTGTTACTGCGTTATTTTATTTTATTGAGACGGATGGAGAAGAGGGACATGCAGATGGTTTAACAAAGCGGCCAAGGAAGAACTGACTGAGCCAACATGTGGCTCCAGAGGAAAACATCTGCCAAGGGGTGTTAATAATCAGCCTCACATGCCGGGCTACATACAGAGTCAATGCAGAGATATTCACTCAGAGAACAGACATGTTGTACCATGTATAACAGATGAGTATCCACAGGCATTGTTATGTTAGTTGTACCTGTAGGAAACGGCTTTCAGCACCATGGAGAGCTCTGACCTCCAAACTGCATCGGTCATCACTCAGTCCTGAAATTGTCACTTACGATCCAAAGGAAGAAGAGGAGAAGCTGAGCCTAGACGACAACATCCTGCTAGAGGAGGACTTGGAAGCGGGGTACGAGGCTGAGGAGGATGAGGAGGATGAGGGGCTGGATGAGGAGGAGGAAGAAGAGGAGGAGGAGGAGGAGGAGGAGGAGGAGGAAGTGAAAGTGAGCACCAAGATGAGAATCCTGCTGCTTGTGGCCCAAGTTGCATCCAAAGTGAAGGAGATAATCGGGAACTTGATCACCACTGCGGGGAAGGTGGTGGTCACTGTCTTGTTGGGCATGACAGGTGAGTGACTCTGCTTGCTGCACTGTGAAATTCTTTTTCTATATTTATGTTTTCTACCTTATTAAGATCATTTATTGAATCATTTTCTACTTTTTAGGCAGCCATGTTGCTGGTGTTTTCTTAATTTACTTGTGTTTTGTCTGTTTGTATGTGTTATCTTAATGCAGAGGTATGATGGAAAACAAACAAAAAAAGAGATTTGAGATGGACCAGGGTCACAGCGGAGGTCCTCTGCTGTCAGATTACTTAACACTGTTTCCACTGTGTTTTCACGTTGTTTAAAATTTTGCTTTTCTTGCCTGGAGAGTGAGCGGCACCGAAACTGTGTCCACTGTAACATCAAACACAACGGTGAAATCAGATATGCAAAGATAAACCCACCCCCTGTGCAGAGCTATGCTGATAGTGTAAGATGAAAAGAACTGTGCTCTAGCTTCCTCCGACTACGTTTGAATAAAATGACTTAACATGATCCTACCACCCTGAAACGCCCAGCTGAAGCCTCTAGTCTACAACAGCAGGTTGCTCTCCTTCCCATTCAGGATCAGACTCGAGTTCTGTTGTGCTTCCACCTGCAGCCATTACACAAAGGAAAGATTGACTGTTGGAGGGAGAACTTTTTCATTACATTATTCATTAGGTGCTCATGAATAATGCAAACTTTATGTTAATGACTTCCAAACCGCCTGCTAGAGGACAATGGGGAATCTGGGTTTAGAGAAACAACTTTGGGTGAATAAATAATTTAAAATACACTCAATAAAAAAGACAAAACAAAACATAATGCCACCTCCCTAAGTTATGTGCAAAGGGCTCCCAGTGTCACTGTAGAAATGTCTGAAAAAATAAACGTAGTTTTGTGTGGCACAAAGGTTTTTTTTATCTCTATCATGTCTTGCCACCTCTCAGATTTACCAGTGACCGTCTGTGGACTCCAGAACCCGAGGTTACTGACCATTACTTTAGGGTGTGCCTTTAAAAAACAATTGTAAGTTTGCAGTGATCCAAAGTATATTTGAATTGTTGTTGTTGTGGTAAAAGATGCTAAACTACCTGGATAGATAACTGGGTCCAACAACACTTGCAAATACATTTTAACCATTGTGTGAATTTGCTTCTTAAACTACATATGTGGTGGTGATGTGTGTGTGTGTGTGTGTGTGACAGGGTTTAAAAAATAAATATCCTCCTGGTCTGATTATATTAAACCACAGTTTCTTGTCTTTGCAGGCATGATGCTGCCTTCGTTGACCTCGGCTGTTTACTTCTTTACCTTCCTGTTTCTGTGCACCTGGTGGTCCCTCTGCCGGACCTTCGACACACTCATCTTCAGCTGCATGTGCGTCCTGATGGCCATCTTCAGTGCCGGGCACCTCATCGTACTCTACTTTTACCAGTTCCAGTTCTTCCAGGAGTCCATCCCATCAGAGGACAGCTACATCAGGTCAGACACATGTTCACCGTTCGGCTAAAGTGCTCAGCTTGAAAACCAGACAGAATTTAATCACTGACAGTGTCAGAATCATTAAATGTTTTATGTAAGTTGTTAGGTTTCTACAGGTTTTTTTAAGAGTAGGTGCAAGAATGAAATCTTGGAAGTCTTATTTTTCACCAGTCTATGTTAAAAAGTGTTTTACTTTGCAGTATCTGTTGTAATTAGGATACTGCGTTGACTGCTGCTCTTCCCACAGACAGTCAACCCTTAGCAACAAAATACAAACCATCTCCTAAACAACAGTGAGCTAACGTTGAACAGCACCAGATCTCATGTCTCTCTGATGGATTTTGAAAATGGTATTTCTCTAGTTAAACAGCACAAGCCCGTACTAATGCTGTCTGGCTCTTTAATAATGTGAAAATACACGGCGTGATGACAGACCTCAGCAGCCAGAGCTCCACTGACTCCACAATATTTATTGCGCCCGAGGCAAGTGTTGTTTAAATGGTAATAAATATTTATAATTTTTATAAACCAGAAGGCAAAGGAAAAGGCAAACCCAGCTGGAGGGGAGATATATCAAACTCCTACTCACAGCACATCAATATCAGAGGCAGAGCTTTTAGGCTCTTCACTGCAACCAGTTTTGTTTTATTATGCATGAGAGAAGAGACAATCAGCTGTCTGTGGCTACAGTGGTGAAATGCTGTGGTTGGACTAAAGCCATAGTGTTGCACATTTTGCCAACATATGTCAGTCACAGTTGTAATGAATGCAGGCTCAGTAACAGAGACTGCCTCAGGTCACTAAACGCACTGTGTTTGACTGACAACCTGCAGAGCAAAGAGCGCTGTTTGTTTACTTCTTACAAAAATGAACGAGTCAAACCACCCGCTGTCGATGTTTGACAAAAAGCGATTTTCTGCCACACCAGGAACAATAGAACATTTAACCAGGGGCCCGTTTCAAGAAGGAGGTATTGTTGAAACACTGAGTTTGTTAACCCTGAAATGAGGAAAACTCGGAGTTTTCGGTTTCAGAAACGGAGGTAACTTAAACCCGTGAAA